AATTTCAAACAAAAAAAAATGGAAAGCGAATGAATTCGGCTTTAAAGCACTGAACAAAGTGTTCTATCCACTGAAAAAACACTATTTGTGAAGAGTTTTACTCTGAATTCAATACAGAAGTCCAAACACGTGAAGAAAAAGCAATAGAAACCCATGAAATACTTAACTAGATACTTCTACGACCCTTCTGAATGAACACCCGGTACATTCAAACCGTTGTCTATTGACGCCCATCCATCCAGGAGGCCGGGCTTGTGTATGGGCTCACTTGTGTTTTAGTAATGTTTCATCCTTGAAGCTGTTTGTGAGCGGTTCTCGTGGAATTCCAGGAATCTCGGACAAGGACGATTCATGGTTGTCGCTTCAATAAGCCGACATGGATCGAAGGGAGGTTATCCACTCATTTCTTTTACAGTGTGGCAACATTTCCTTTGGTAACAACAAATTTTGCAATGATTTAAGGGAATGTTAGAAAACGATGTAAGTGACGAAATACCGTAGTGGAAAAAAAAGGAAATCTGCTAGAGTGGTGTTGCAGCTGAGAGAGGGATTGATTTCGGCCAGCACCGCCAGCTGAACATGACGTCAGCTGAAGTGGTGGCCGAATAGTGATACTGACTTTCCCACAGGAAAATTATCATTTCCTCTACTTCTTCTTTCATTTCTAATTTGATCTCCAGTTAATTTGACAACGGATAATTCTTTTACTTCATTTTTAGGCGAGCAGAAAAATTAGCAGAAAAAATCCAAGTTAAAAAGGTTGTAATCTACAAATCCCCAATTTTTTTCGCTTCACACTAAACCGCTGAGGAACTTATCGATTAATTAGGCAAACAAGGTGTTGGAAATATTGCACGAATCGGCGACTGTTGATCCTCTGAGAAAATGAAGAAGTCCTCTCAGAGAACTCCTCTTACAGATTCGTAAAGACATTTGTATAATGCTAGTGGTGCAAATACAAAGTGCTAGTAAGCCAGTCAAGAAGAATTCTCGGTTTTTTGTTCTTATTCGAATCCTAGAAATAATGGACTGGATTTACCCGCTTCAATATGTGCTCGCTGCCCATTAGAAATGGGTTTTTACGTCCATTCTCCATGAATCGACGTCAATTCGCAGATTTGCCTCCAATTTCTTCGATTAATCGCTTGAGAAACGTCGTCATTTTCAGGATTATTCGCTATTTACGGGGCTTTTATAGCTTAGCAACGCTTTGGTGGCAATAAAATAACTTTTTCGTATTTTGAATGGGGGCAAAGCTAAAATGCGAGGAAGTAATAATGTACAGAGATATTAAACTCTCAAAGCAATTACAAAGTGGACTGAACAACGATATCACAGCGCTTCTCATAGCTTTGATCACCACCTTCGTTTTATCAGTCATTGTCATTGTCATCGTCGTCGTCTTCGGAATCCACAAATGATGGGGCCATTTGTAGAAGATCCCAGAATCCAGATTAGCCACCAGACTCATATCCACCGATTCCAATGCCTTGCAAAAGAGTAGCGCCTAGAAACTACAGCTGCGATAACTGATGTGATTTTATTCTCAATCGTTCGGACAGTAAAACGGAATCCTTGAAATTCGCATCGAAAACAGAGAAATAGTCAACAGCAAATCCTTGACTTGGTCGTCGAGAAGGAGATGTTTATCACATATAATTACAAGGAAAACGGGAAAAAAAAACTCCTGCATTTGCTATAAAACTAAGTAATAAAAAGAAAGAGCTTTCAGTTCTCTGTGAATTAAATGCTTTCATGACCATCTTTGCTGATATTCCAAATCATTCCTATTCCAGCTCTAAGCACGTTTCCGCCATTGAGAGTGTGCAGTGAAAGTGCTGAGGGTCGTTAGAAAAGCAACGCAAGGTAACATTTGACCATTGAACTGTGAAGTGATGTTGCTGTCCAAGAAAATTGCAAAATCATGTCGTCTGTGGGCATTTTACTTGTGATTCGCCTAGATATTTCTTCATTAGTTGCTGCTTGGAACCGACCCAACTAACTCCTGCAGGCGAATCGTACGTAATACTTTTCTAGTTTTTTTGTTCAATCCTTTCTTTAAAAAATCGAACACTCATCATCCGTTCTACTAAGCAGCACAGCGTAGTATTTCATAGCAATGAAGGTGTCAGTAAATTTGCCATAGTATTATAGGCCTAGATATAAAGTGCTTTAAAATCCTTAAACTCTCGAAGAATTTGGTAGATGAAGTATCGTGTCTCCCATCAAAGTGCAATATGTCGAACGACAAGTGTCCGTGGCTAATAATGAATCTGTGATGGAGAACCTAGGAGCAACGGAAGAAGAGCGAAAAAGGGTTTACTCTAAGGAGGAGATGTACCGGACTGCTATCGTATTTTGTGACAAGTTCGGAAAAAACAGAGATTTTAGACTTTTTATTCGTTTCTAAGACTATTCTTTTTTCTTTTTCTTTATTCTCCTTTCTACGTTTCTAATACTATTTTATACATCCCTTTATTGTTATTTCCATCTTAATCCCTTGGAATACTGATATCAAAACAATAACTGCAAAATCCTATGATTAGTGATATCAAGTGAGAGCAATCTGGGAGCAAGCCACTCCCTGATCCTCTGACGACTGCCTGAGACGAACATCTACACAAAAGCGCGGCTTTGCCTTCCTTGTGATTCTAAAAAAATCATACTCGACCATCATTCAGCATGGCACTGCGGGAAGAAAAATGCAACTGCTCAAGTGGCTGCTCAAGTGCAACTGTTAAAAGCATACAAATCGGACCACCTCTGATAAATAAAAGACAAGCGGGGATCCGCAGAACACGCGAAAATGTGTTATCCAATATACTTATTCGAGATTTACTTCACTTCAGTCCATCGATACTCACTGCGCGAAATCGTAATTTTTTCTAAGAAATTCTGCTTATTGAGGGCCAACAAACAGAGAAGCCAAAACCCTTAGGTTGTCAACAAACTTCATTGTCAAATATGCAAGCGAACTGCCACGTCAGATTGTTACTGAGGAAATTTTTTGTTGACATGTGCGCATATGAAAAAACTTGAAAAATCTGAAAAACTAATTTTGAATCTGGTGGTAGAATATTGTAGACTGGTGACAAATTATTTGAGGAGTGACCTCAGATGAAAATCTCATCACTGAAAAGCTCATTTTTTTCATAAAAAGTACAAAGACGTCTCTTTTGGTCAGGCTGAACAACGGTAGCATTTTTGACTTCTTCTTTAGAGTTTATCATAGTTATGAGTTATAATTACCATCAAATCAATACTCCTCATTAACGAAGTACTCTGTTCAGATTTTCTGCCTGACTGGAGGAATGTCGATGTCGCCTTCTAGGAGAATTATTCTTTTTTAATTCCCGTGACCGACTCTCTATTAATCTCGACATTGATCAAATAGTTCTCGACATTCTTGATGAGCAATTCTTTTTTTACTCTCGGGGTTTTTTTTTCTTTCCTAGTAGTATAAACCGGAAAATATTCACAGTGAAAGTGTCACAACTTCAATGATTAAACAATGCTTTTAAAAATCCCATTGACTGCTCCTAACAGTTACATTTAGATCGCTACTTAATCGAATATCCTTCTATATCCCATGTCCCTGCATTCCATTTACCTCCATAGGGCTTCAAAAACGGTTTTTAGGTCAGCTCGATGAAAACTTTAAGACTTTCCTCTAAGCAAAAATTGTTTACTAAGAATACAGAATTGTTTTTTGTCACAAATTCCACCATTGATTTTTCCGAGCTTAATTTCTCACAATCACAGTGTTTTCGCTGGTATTCTGTTGTGAATTTTCTTCATTTGTCGTTCACGAGATAGCTTATAGCATGTACAAGCACCTTTTGTAAGCATCAACGCGCTTCGAGCTTGTGTTTTTGAAAAATGAGCTGACAAATTTTAGCTTACCGTCGAAGTTGATGTAGAATGATCTCACAGAAATGGCAAGGACAATGGATGTCGAGCACGTTTCGGTAAGTAGCGGGGCTTCCATTAAAGCGTTGCGGAAGTTCCAACCAATTATAATGTGATTTTAACACATCATTCACTGGAATATCGAACCCACCTCCATTACTTTTTGGAAAACAAAAAACAAATGCTTATGTAAAAATAATACAGCTGAAAAAACAAGGTAAAGTACTAATGAATGACGATAAGTATTATTAGGAACATAAAAGTAATACAATGAAAACACAAAAAATAAAAAGTATTCAAAAGCACCTTTTTCCCCTGCAAGTCGGTTAACCATCGAATAAGTCGAGCTGAGATAGTGGATGCTGGTGTCCAAATGAACATGCTGAACTGCAGGATCTTCTATGAAACCTTTTAGTTTTTCCTCTTTTTTTTTGCTTTTTAGCGACAATGAACGTGCGGGAACATTCTCAGTCTCCTAAAGTAGAGTTGGGGTCTAACCGTTGAACGCGACTTCATCTCATCTCCCTACCAAGGAAATCTTTGGAAGCTTTTGGCCATGTCGAAATGTGCGATACACATATAGCAAGATCATGAATGAATGAATGCATAGTTATATAACACGTCAAAGTTATAACAACTCCAGAGGTCCAGGAACAAAGAGGTCATTCTTTCCATCCAGATGCAACTCTAGAACAAGCACATTGTTTCATTTTCTCGACGTTGAACTTTATCTTAGAGTATACTTTGACATGAACGCGGTTTTTTTCTGGCTCGTGTTCTACACCTTAGCCGCCATCTCTGGTCCTACATCATGCCTGCGCTACCACTCAGCCCAAGTCAACCATCTGAAGGAGATTTGCACGTTATAGTCCCACATTAAATGAATTTATGTCAAGGGTATAGTTTTTTAAAGCCACCAATGCACTTTTCGTTGCTTCTTTCCTATATGGGTGCAGAGTAGTTCTCAAATTTAACCACATCTAAGGATATAGGTACTTTAACAGTACACTAGGAAAAATGGTACCTCTTTCCATCTTCTTATGCCTTCTGAAAGCACAAAAGATTTCCAAAAATGGTCAGGATATCTTTACATGAATTTATTTCAACTTACTCAACTATCTTCTAATCAGTTTCAGAGGCCTCGTCGACCCGGGCTATTCCAAGTCCTTCGACGATCGGGCTACTGGAAATGTTTGTCCTGCTCGTTGTTGCTGATTGGGTGTGGACTCTATGCATCATGGTGCCATTTCAAACACATGGCCTACTCTGGACTTCAACCTCTGTTAATGTAATGTTACTTTTTCGACACAGTTTTTTACAGGTTTTTATTACTTCGTTTTTGCAAAAAGTTCTTACAACGAAGTTTTAGCGGTGATTTAAAGAGAGGCCAGATGTTTCGCCTTAACCGATGTTCCCTTGACATCTTTATTTCACAAAGGACGTCCTCAGTTTTCTTCTTGTCTGTGTGTAGCATCAACTATAAACGTCTGTCATTCTCCTGGCTAATCCTAGTCACTATTGGAGCACTTCCCCAAGGGACATCTGATTCCTTGTTTGTCTGCTACGCGGTGCAATTTCTCATAGCCTAACGCGGGCCTCCAAAGACCTCCAAACAGCATTAACGCATTTCTATTGCCATCTGCAACAATTGTTGGGAGCAGAATTGCAAAATTGCTGGTCAGAATGCCGATTTGGGCGCATGTTGCTTGATTCGTCGGGCCTATTAAATGTCTCTACTGTTCAAATAAATCTTAAAAACCAACGATTTCTTCTGAACAGAACATCTACTAGGTACACATGCGTAACGGAATTTGCAATGCCAAACGTGCTATGTACCACTTTACAACACGGTTATTACCGACATAAATTAAGGAGGCCGGTAGTGGCATTTATTCATGCGAACGATTTACTTATGCTAGGAGTGGAAGACACAAAAAACAGATTTAGAGTGCAATATGGAGTCTGTTTCTCTAGTTGCGGTGTCGATATTTCGTTCAAGAACCTCTAGTGCACTCATACGAGGACAGGATTATTACCTACTTTAGTGGGAGGCGAACTGCATTCTATGCAAAGTTGTTTAGCAAATAAGTCGTTAGTTGTTATCACTAAAACCGCAAAGATCGAAAGAAAGGTAAAGAAAGAAGGAAGAAAGAAGTCGGGGATCTCAGTGGGAAAACAGAAAAAACCGTGTACCCAAAACAATCTCTGGGGTGAGAATAAATAGAAAATCAAAGGTTATCAAAATGGAACTTTGAGAATCGGTTCGAGAAATTGACTTTTTATGTGTGAGATAGGTGTGTCCGCAGCATTGGTGTTTTTTAAGCCACAGAATCATAAAAGTTGTCAATATGTCACGCCACTGCGTTCAAAACGCCACGGAATTCGAACGGTTAGTGGTCCTATCCAATGTACACATGGTATCTGGTTCGAACTCATCCTATACCAATCAAATATTCCATTCTTTGGCATTCAGAAAATTGGCGCCAGCCTCGGTTGAGAAAAACTCCGTCCGATTCGCAAACACTGTGAAGTACTTGTGCTAAAGAGTGGGAACCGCTCTAGTGAACTGATACGAAATTAGAAACACACGAAATTAATCACAATCTTAACTCTTTTATTTACTGCCTTTTTCTTCTTAATGGCAGGGAATGTTGCGAAATATAACTCGTATGAAATGCTGAGATATTTGCAAAACTCCGGACCACAGGTGTATGCAGTGGGAAACGAACACGCGCTGTTGTCCTTACCGGGGAGCAGCGCACTTCACCACTACACCATCCGGGTCACGAAATTAAGTTTGAATCAGTCCAAATGCTCTAACACTGTGTGAACCGCCCAGCCTATTTTGTGGCAGTTTTAGTGCAATGGTTACTTTCTGAAGTCTTTTGACGACACTTAAATAAGTGACTCATTACGACGCAAATATTTTGCCAACTTTCTCAAGATATCCTAAAATTAGCTATTTAGCCACTATTTTCAGACCTCCATCGCACTTGGTGAATGAATAGAAGACAAGATTTTTTGCACTGTAATACAATTGACCATATTTGAATATTGAAGTGATCCACTTTTACGTCAAATGGTACCGTTGTCGGCATAATATTCAGTCAACTGGTAGTTTGATAGTCATTGAAGATATTTTTTTTAAAGCCTTGCTAGAGTGTCGCCAATTGGTCATCATAGACAGTTGCCGTCCGTTATGTATCGGACGAAGTTACAACCTCGTTAGTGAGATGGTCCGGGTTTCTCTCAGTGGTTTGCTCACACGGCTACACCTTCGAATCAGAGAGAATATCTACCATTCCCAGTTTGCAAAACCGTCCTTCCTCACTGGTTGTGTGGTCCCAGTATCAACTCCATTTTTCAGAGATTTGCTGGTTAAGCCATTGTGGTTCCCTGGAATCCCGAGGTCAGCCCAACCAAAGTCTGCCCCAGGTCTTCACCACCACAGGCCGTCGCAACTCTTGTGGATCAGAGGGAGATTTGCCACTATGCGACTTTGATACCAGGACGGTGGTGGATTCTGGTATTGGTTTACCCTTAGATAGGTTTCCCGATAAAAACACAGGACTCCTTTTCACCTTGCGAGGCGCTGGGGGGGGGGGGGGGGGGGGGACGAATTCCCCGCTGTACGTCACAGCCCTACACCCAGGAGCACTTCCCAGCCACGGTGAGACTGTGAACCGTTGGGAGGATGTTAATTCTCCGGACCGGCTTTCTATTAATCTCGGCACCGATTGACAATTTACTGTTTTTCTTCGAAAAGCAGACACGAAGTTGGTGTTATGAAATTTATTAGCACACAATAGCTGATGTTTCGGGGGTTTCGCCTCCTTCAGAGCTGGTTTATTCGTTGTAAGTATTCAAACAAATTTTTGGAGAGCAACCGCACGGAGTAATAGATCAGTGAAGAATGTTGCATTCTACTGAAGAGCCTATTGGAGACAAACAATTAAAACTACTCCTAGAAAAACTGTTGAATCGAAAATTCGGATGTATTTCGAACTATTAAAACATGAAGAGGAACTGAGAGCGCGTTTTCCGCGGTGGTTCGAGTAAAGACACAAGTCCTAACGTGCACGTTTGGTCGTTGATCGGATCTCGCGTTACGGACTGGGCATGGCGTCCATCCCTCATGGCACGGCAAATTGATATAAAACCTATCTTCGAGGTAAAAATACTCTTTTGAAAGGCTGATTTCGCCTTCCTCAGAGCCGCTTCCTATGAGGTTTCCACTAAGTATGTCACGTAGAGACCAACCGCACAGAAATCACATGGAAGTATAATGTGCCCAACAAAAAATTGCAAAAAAACAAAATTTGCTCAACAAAAATACGAAGAAAATTACTTGATCAATGCCGAGGTTAATAGAAAGTCGGTCGTGGCAGTTACTCTTTTGAAAGATCCGTAAGCTACCGAAGTTCATCGTATAAACGAAACATACATTTAGTAATTAGCTCTGCGCATGGTAGAGTTGAATTCATCGCGCATTCCTCACGGAATGATCAATGCGAAGGCTTTGCCATTCATCGCTTGTTCTCCGAAGATGGACTTCTAATGTTTACCGGTTTTTTGCAGACATCATCATGGTCCATGCGCTCATGGCTACAATTTCGTTCCGATTGTGTTCGGTTTGATGCTTTACATCGTGTACGTTATGGAATGCTGGCATAGCCGATCGAAACTGGCCATGCTGAAAAAGGTGTCACATCTTGATTTTCATAAACAAACGCAACTCCAAACACGAGGTTCGGTTGCTTATTTTAGTTTTATTCTTGTCACTCTTGAGTAGTCCGTACAGACTAGCTGCTTTTTGCAATGAAGCCTTTGGATTTGGAAGGATGCTTGTTGTAAAAACGCTTCGAAGTAGAAGGATGTCGCTGAAAAGTTACTCCAAAGTATCATATGTTAAGAACCTAGTATTAGAATGTAGACAAAAAGAGTTCGATATTATTTAAGACTAAACAAAAATTACTATGCACTCGCTTTATAGTTCCGCAGATCTGCACATTTTTCCCTCATTTCATTTGGAAATAAATCACACTTTACGTATTTTAATCACTTAGTGCCAATAAGAAATAGGATATGCAGTTGCGGATGACAACAGAGCGAAGTGCTCAACGGTGTGGAAAAAATGCAGCTCGATCAAAAAGTGGGGAAAATTGGTAACACAAGACTTTTAAGTGGCCGAAAACGTTAGAACTGATTCCTAAGAGAATAACTGAGAGGTGAATCGATAAATAAAATTTTAATGCACCTGCCAAACACCTCTTATATTCCAAAATTTCATCCGTTTAGTGGATTTTTCCAGATCATTTTGATGAAGCCTAATTTATAAAATATTAGATGCTGCTTAACTTCTTTTCACTTGATTACTTTACACTCTAAACTTAATGTAAGAGCAATTAGTTAAAATAACGAATGTTTCTGATCTAAGTACGTTTCCGTCAATATTTTCGTTCTTAACATAAGAATCCGTCAACAGATTCTTACTAATCTCCCTTGTAAACAAGACAGTAGCAAAAAAAACCCTCACCCCGTGCTGTTGAGAAGAGGCGAAAACAGCTGCAGACACTACGAGGTCAAACGGCCCTCCTGTTCTTGGCGGTTCGTTTCATTTAGTCTGTAAATTTAAGCTCTAATCCAAATAATGGTGGAATATTACGGGAAACCCACTTATAAACAGAAGTACTTGCCGCATTTTATTCTTCTCTGTATATTCGTTCAATATTTATTGAAAAAATTATTCGACGATACCCTTCAAAACCCAAAATACAATTTTGCATTGTTTTTCTTGTTTTTTGTTAAATTCATTAAATGTTTTTGTTTCTCACATTACTATTGTTTTTTATTATTGCCTGTATTATTACGACTACTCCTAATAACTTCAAGCTCCTTTCAGTTTGTCAATGAAAAGACACATGCTGCTACAAAGGATAATGGATAAAGATCTCGGAGTTCATCAATCCCCGAGGGATGCGCCATGCATTCGACTTGATTAAGTATCATTGGAGGTGATTGAATGTATATCTGGCCTTTACAATGACTCGCGGTGGCCTACCGATGTATCGAGCCAGTGCTGATATCCTCCCAGACAAGTCTGGCACCAATTTACCGACGCCGGAGAGATGGAAGGCTTAGTGAGCCTTGGGCGCTGGGATCGACTCCGCGTGTGTGTCGCAGTGGCGCCTCCAACCACTGCGCTACACGCGCCCCTCATGTTGCTATCCTTATTGTTATTCTTGCTATTGCTATAATTATGACTCTTACGTATCGTTATTTACAATCGCGATTGTTGTAATTAATATAATCAAAACTATTAATCGCGTGTAGCCCAGTAGTTAGGGGTGGCATGCATAGTTTCCATCCCGCGTCACACGTTCACCAAGCCTTCCGTCTCACCGGGTTTGACAAATTGGTTGGACTTATCTGGGAGCATAGCAGCACTGCCTCGATACATCCACATTATATATTCCACCACGAGTCATTGTGTAGGCCATATGCATGCGGTCACTTCTAACGATAGTTAATGAAATCGAATGCATGGCACTTCTCTCTGGGATTGATTAACGCCAACAGCTTCTTTTATCCTTTTATGATTTATCGTTTCCTATCTTCAAAGAAAATTAAGGAATTTTCAAATATTTGATTAAAACAGGAAAAAACAGGTAAAAAAATTATATTTTTTCGGATTCAGTTTGGAGTCAACTTTTCAGCTTTCCGTAAACCATCGTTTTGGGACAATATACATGATATAAAGATCGAAATTAAGTCGAGGAAATCTTTTCTACACACCATTAAATCGCAGATTTGTTCAGATTCGTGTTGAAGACGCTCTGCAGTATCTGAAGTCACTTCGGAACTCACTGCCAATCGTGTGGTGGAAATGCATTTGCTATCACTACGTACGAAAAACCCGACAGGTGATCAGGTGCAGTGTTTTTGGCTCAGACCTCTCCACTTTGTCAAGGAAAAATTGCATACTCACCTTTAGGTATCGTAATGGAGACGCAGTGCCGACTACTCAGATCTACTACGAACGAGTTGACTCACATTCGGCGGGGAATGTCTTCATTTACGATGTCTGTGGCGTGAAGGTCGTACGGATTATTTTGTGCACTTAATTCATGCTAGGAGAGAATTCGAGCGCTTGCAATTTATTAGTGGGAAAACCTCACTAGAATTTTGAAAACGACTCATTACCCAAGAACTCGAAGGTATGCTTTTCGTCAGATTCTAAACTAAATGATAATTCGATATTTTCCTTCAATAAGCAGACACGAGGTTGTTATTATAGAATTTATTAGGATACAGTAGCTGACGTTCCGGCGGTTTCGCCTTCTTCAGGGCCTGGAAAGGTCAAATTGAGATGCGATCTACTCAACCAAACATTTCATAACCCTAGCAGATAATTCAATGTTTTTCATCAATAAGCAGACACGAGGTTGTTAATATAGAATTTATTAGAACACAATTGCTGACGTTTCGGCGGTTTCGCCTTCTTCAGAGCCTGGAAAGGTCAAATTGAGATGTGATCTACTCAGCCAAACACTTTCACAACCCTAGCAGATAAAACTTGACAAATCGATTTGCATTCGCATAAGAAACAGCTTCATTCAAACACCTACCGTTTATTTGTCGTAAGTATTTAAGTTAGTTGGTGGATAGCCGCCGCACAGAGTAATACATGGTCGATAACTGGGTCCATGCCAGATCATTGGATCAGCCTGAGGTATGGCGCTAGGTCACGCGTGATGACAAGACACTCCTCCTTGCGGTTCATTTTTGAATTTTTGGCATTGATCCAAAACGCTTCGAGAATTTTATGCACTGATGTTTTCGATTCGTGCGTGAGGATAGTGAGTCCTACTTCAAAATCCTCTCTGTGGTGTTCTTGCATCCAATGAGGGCCTAGTGGAGTGTTTTGTTTTAATTTAGATTTACCGACTAGGTGTTCTTTTATGCGGACGCAGAGGGGTCTACCCGTTTCGCCAACGTATTCGTCCCCGCACACTTTACAAGAGATCAGATAGACTGTACCCGAACTCATGCAATCACCGTGTCTACCGCTAGGGCAAATTATACAGTTTTTCGCTATACAAAGACGGTTATACAGGTGGTTGCAAACTAGCTGGCGTCTTAGAGTATCCAGTGGTATTTCTATCACTCCTACGGATTTTTCTAGGCCGGCCCTTACTAACCAACGTTTTATAGCAGCACTTATTTCGTTTGAAATAAAGGGCAAGAGGAACGGAACCCTGTTTTCGCTAAAATTATCGCTCTGGGTGGTGGTTTCTCCTCTATGCCTATACCAAGAAGCTACAGTTTCGTAAGCATTTGAAACGGCTATTTGGCACGCCAGTTTCGAAGAATCTTCCCTCTGATCTCTACCTGTGCACACGCTGGCAGCGGTTCGAAACATATTTCGTATAAGCGCCCTTTTGGTGTGCGAGGGATGAGAGGAGAGGTAATGAACCACTATATTCTTACTGATTAGCTTTCGATACCATGTTATGATGTAGCCGTTTTCGGATAGGTTGATTTGAACGTTTAGAAATGCAAGCCAGTTTTCTTTCGGTTTCTCACGGGTGAACTCTGACCGTTCGTCCAATAACTCAAAGCATTTGTCCATCTCCTCTTGTGTTGAGCAGATGACAAAACAATCATCTATATGCCTACAGTAGAGTAATGGCCTGAGATCGATTACTGGTGCTTCTACTTTAGACATAAAGGCAACGACAAGTGTTGGCGCCAGTCGCTGTCCCATTGCCAACTCTCTAATTTGCGCGTAATATTTCTTGGACTATCTGAAGATCGAGCAGTTTAAACAGACCTTAAGAGGGCCATAAGGTGCTGAATCGAAAAGCCATGCATGTTAATTGCTTCATCGTGTTGCTCAAAAAACTCGCGGATGGCTTGCATTGCGGAGTCGTTCGACAGGTTAGTGTAAAGGGCAGTAACGTCGAACGACTCCATAACGTACGCGCTTTTGGGACGTGCGTTGTGCAGACGGTTTAGAAACATTTGGGTGTTCGTGAGACGGGCTGGTAGGTGCTTAAGGAACTGGTTGTGGATAAAATTTATAAACCAAGCAACTCTCCGTAAGCCCGTCTACACAACTCATGATGGGTCTAACTTTAAATGTTGAGGGGTCGGTAGACACGAGATCATTAGCGGATATTAACTTATGGGTATAACTTATGGGTACTTGATAAGTAAAAATAAAATGGGATATGTCGGCACTTCGATCTTAAGATGCATGCTGGTTTTAAACCTGCTGTGCTTGCCATTTTGACCCATTCATTGTTTAGTTTTCGATTTTGACTTCTGAATTCCTTTTCAGTAGAGGCGCGATGAAGAGATGCGTCTTCAAGATGTTTTTTCCGTTATATCGACATCTAACTGGCGAGGAACTACTACAAATTCCTCACCCTTATCATTAACTGATGGCTTAATCGTCTTTGATTTTATTAGCTCTCGAACCTGCCGCATACCGGATCTTTGCGCAGCTGTATGGTTCGAACTAAACTTTCTCGCGCGATAGTGGCTGAGCCTGAGAGTTTCACTCGAAAATATGCGAAATTTTATATCGACTCCGTAGTTTGGGTCTTGCTGTCTAAAGAATAACCGAGGAAATGGAAGTGGTGGGTAGTGGCCCTACTTCTCGTTGCTCCTTTCTATTTCGTGTCGCAATTCTAGCGTTGCTTCGGAGTCGATCTTGGAGCTCGTGCAGACCGCACGCGACCCTACGCAAGGTTTCTTTAGAAATGGGTTGCGCTGGTGAGAAACTCGGATCCAATTCTAATAGCGAGCGCGTGTCATTAAGCAGAGTTATGCCTTCTAACACGGTGACTTTTGATTGATATTTGATGACTTGACTGACTTTTGAGGCACGTTATCGACCACATTTTTAGTGCTAGCGCTTTCATAAACGATTTTGCTTTGTTTAATTGAAGCTGGTTTTGCGAATGATCTAATTAATTTTGAAACTTCCTGCTTAAGGCTACTTTAGCATTCGACCTAATAGAATCGCATGGTTTTCGTTTGATGAAGTTCAGCACGACTCGGTGTTCTAGTCTGCAGCGGAGAAAGAGTATCGTTTGTCTAGCTAAGACAATTTTTTGTCTTAGTGACAGGACTTCTTTTACAAGTCAGAAATATTCTGCTGGCACTTCACGTAGCAATTCCCAAGACCAACTTTCTGTTAACTTAGGCATTGATTCATAGTTCGATGTTTTTCTTCAATAAACAGACACGAGGTTGTTATTATAGAATTTATTAGGATACAGTAGCTGACGTTTCGGCGGTTTCGTCTTCTTCAGAGCCTGGAAAGGTCAAATTGAGATGCGATCTACTCAGCCAAACACTTTCATAACCCTAGCAGATAAAACTTCACAAATAAAATTTATTATCAATCAATGCCGAAGTTAACAGAAATTCGGTCTTGGGAATCGCTAAATGATAAATTCTTATTTATTTTCGTCACTGCTACATCTTCTCTGCGGATCCAGAACCTCTCTCATCCGATCGATTACCTCAAATCCGCCATCCATGAAAGTCTTTAAAACTTTTCGCGTGAGGTTTCGGCCGCTGCTTGAGGAATGTCGTCTCTTTATAAATATTGTTGAATACTGGTCAAGCCGATTTTCTTGTGATTCCTGAGATGGCCGGACTAGGGCGTTCCCACATGGACTGCAGTGAGTGAGGTGTTCCCAAAAGTCGTACCAATTTTCCGAACCGGAAAGGGTATGAGAGGAATGGTGAGCTCGGGTCGGAGTCGAAGCAGCGCCATGCTTGTGATGAACGGTATCACCACAACTTCACTAAGCGGAGCCTTAGGGTGTTATACGTTCCATAGTTAGTGATACTTGTTGTTTTTAGGACATCTCAAAATCTGTCTTGGACCTTGAACGTTTTCCGTTGACAAGAGTGCGTGTGAATCGAGGTTTTGTATTCGCTTGCATTCAAGCGGCAAGAGAATTCGAAGAACAAAGAACAAGGTTCTTCAACGAAAACGAGACTCGAGACGACTACATGGAGGTAAATGAGCGAACTATTCATAAGTGCAAAATCATATAACTCTATGCCAAAGCAGCAGGTTGTGATTTTTCGGGAATTACAGAAGTGAGCAAAATCGCTTTCTAGAGCTTTCTTGAGCTACAATTCTATGTAGCACTTATGCTAATACGGCACCTGTGGTAAAAAATCGCATCCAAATCCCAAAAAATTGGCGAAAAAGAGACTATAGATCTAATCTATTTTACTCTATAGAGCATATATCACGAAATCTTTTCTAGAATTGGGAGGGCACGGTTTTATTCAGCCACCTCAACAACTTTATTCCTCAGAGACATCTTCCATTTTTCACTTCTAGTTGAATCAACTGACTGTCGTCGAACTTCGTGAGGTTCACAGTCTCCGATTCTCATCTCAGTTATTTATTTTCGTCAAGAACCACAAAATCATTTGTGCTTGTAAAATCTACTACTAATGTATTGCACTCTAACACGATATTTATAGTGAAATAATGGCAGCACTCCGATAGCAAATTGTTTCACCTCATCGCTCTTAGTTGCCTTCATAGGAGTGACCAATATAGTGAAGTAAATACGAAGGGTATTCCGCTTCTAACAACAGGAAGTCGTCGGTGTTGATGGTCCGATCCCAGAAAACACTATACGTTTTCATCAAAACGAAGCTCTAAGTGGTCAAAAAGCAATCATTCAGTGATACCTTCCATCGAATACGTTCGAGGGATTTCCAGTTGTTCTACCATCGCAATAAACAGGATTTGGAAGGTCAAATATGATTTTAGGATTTTTTATTGTCCACCACCGTGTTATCTAATTTCCCATTGAACGAAGTCTAGAGAAATGCTCTCGTTAAGACTTTCTTCTAGAAAACTTTTATTTCTGCTGTTTTTGCTCCATGCGCTTGAAGTCGCACAAGAACCGATACAGTAGTTAAGTAATTGAGAACTTGAGGATTTTATAGACCTATAAAATTATACGTAGTGGTAAAAACTGCCCAAAGTTTTAAGTTGTGGGGATTCAAGTTTTCAAAAGACTGAGAGTAAAACCTTAATTTTTAGAATTTCTAAAGCAAATCCGACGATGGTAAAGGACAAAGACTGAGGGACATCGTCATCTCCTGAACTTAGAATCCCCACTTTTTCAATCCCTTTGTCTGTCTGTCAAAAGGGGCCTTGTCTCAAAAAAAAAGTGAAAAGAAAGTCTTCTGGTCTATAAATTGCTAGAATTTTATCTCCGAAGAGATAAAAAGCTCGTCGTTGTCAAAGACCTCTGGAATCTCTCGGTTTTTATTTAAAATTAAAAAATTCACTGTAAGTTGAGATGTGCTGCTTCCGTTTATCCTTTTGTTAATATGGGCCTTGTACACGAAAATGTTTAAAAATATTCATGTGATGTTGTTGAATTAAAAAAATGTCTTCCAAAAATTCAGTGAATCTCCACTCTCCAGGGTATACCTGCTTGCTCTCCCGCTGTTTTGAATGAAGCGATTCTGGTACTATCATTCATAGCTAGTCGGCTTCTTATTCGATATCAATTCAAAGCATCGGCTTTGAACAAAGAGACCTTGAAGGTAAAGCCTGTTTGTTCTTATTTATAATAATGAACACTTCAGGTCCGAGAGGGAATGGATCTTTCCGATGTGTGCCGGCTCGAAGACGTGCTTGTTTTTCGCGGATCACCTCCATGGTTTCTCCACCCCTTCGCCTTCTGGTTTGTTACTAATCATATTTTCTACTTAGTCGTTTTTCATTCAAAATCACTTTGATGACTAGAGTTTGAAATAGACATTTGGAAGATTAGTCTGCAAGTATCACCACATCAAATGCGCACGTATGTGTGTGTGTGTGTGTGTATGTATGTATGTATATGCACGATTTTTTATGCAACTATTCTTATAATATGTACATATATATTTTTGCGCATAGGAATGTATGTATGTACGTATTTATGCATTTATGCATCTATGCATATACTTGGTACGCGAACTGATACGCCAGCGTGGAATCGCACGAGCTGCAGGCAACCGCGAACTAACGTCCGAACATGCAAAAAATGCAGACAGATGACAAAAGAAGATCTTAGAGAGAGAAGAGCAGCAGTAATGGTCGAAGCTGCAGTGGTTGGGAAAAGCATTCACAAAGCCCACCGAAGCTTCACCAATTACAAGACCAAAATGATTGCACTCCGATGCTCAGACGGAACAGTTACAGCGTCCAGAAAGGAAATAGAGAAAATCATTCACGAATATTACTCGGATCTCTTCGATACCTACGTCCACCTTCCGTCGTATAAAATAAAGGAGGATGGATATGTTGTACCACCGGTTCTCCCTCCCGAAATCCGACATGCCATTTTGTCGGTGAAAAACGAACAGTACCAAGTCCGGACAGGTTAAGGCCAGAACACCTGAAAAGTCTTTCGCCAGTTCTCCTAAGTACACTGGCACGGCTCTTCACATGTTACCTGTCTGAATGCAAAGTCCCTACTCAGTGGAAAACCAGCAAGACTGTGATATTGTTTAAGAAGGATAACCTGCACGGTATCGGCAACTATCGACCAATCTGCTTATTGTCTGTCGTCTACAAACTTTTCACTCGAGTCATCCTAAACAGGATTGACAGAACAGTAGACGAAACGAAAGACAGCCATGTGAGCAAGCAGGGTTTCGAAGAGGATTTAGTACGATGGACCACATACACACGGTAACTCAGCTCACTGAAGTATCGCGAGAGGACAAAAGACCCTTCTGTCTCACTTTTATCGATTTACAGAAGGCCTCTGAATCAGTTGAGATAGAAGCAATCTTCGAAGCCATTAATAGTGAAGGAGTCCCTACTCAGTACATAAAGATTCTTCGTGAGCTGTACAATAATTTCACAACCAAGATATGACAATTCTACAACAATGTTAACATTGACGTCAAAAGAGGAGTTAGACAAAGCGATACCATCTCGCCAAATTTATTTACCGCCAACCTCCAGAACGTCATGAGAACATTGGAATGGGATAATATAGGAGTGAAAATCGGTGGTCGGCATTTACACCATCTTCGCTTTCCTGATGACATCGTCCTTATAACACCAAACATTAGCCAGGCGGAACGTATGCTTGACGACCTTATAAAGCCAGTGTAAAGATTGGTCTCCCACTGAATCTCACAAAAACGATGTTCATGAAGAACGGATTGTTTTCGCATGCCCTATTCACGCTCAACGGAACGTATATCTCTGAATGCTCCAGTTATATCTATCTAGGTCGGGGAATCAACGTGTTGAACGACCTAGCCCCAGAGCTGAGCAGAAGAAAACGAGCGGCTTGGGGAGCTTTCAAGAGCATCGAGGATGTAGTGAAAAGCACAAAGAGCACTCGACTCCGTGCCCACCTTTTCGACTCAAGGGTACTTCCTGCTCTAACGTATGCGTCAGAAACCTGGTCGCTGCGTAAGCAGGATGAAAGATCACTCAGCGTTATCAAACGCGCGATCGAAAGGACGATGCTAGGAGTATCCTGTTTCAAACAAGTAAGGTATGAGATCTGAAGCTCCGATCTGCTTCAACGACTAGAAATCAAAGACGCCGTTCTGTACGCCAAACAGTCGAAGATAAGGTGGGCCGGACACGTAATGCGTATGAATGACAACCGAAGGACAAGAGCCGTTAGTGACTGGATTCCTCGGGATGTCAAACGCACTGCAGGAAGACCACCAACCCGATGGTCAGAGTTCTTCATGAGGAGCCTAGAAGAAAGATATGATGCTCGACGAGTCCGTATTGCGAGCAGAACCCACTAGGCTGCTCTTGCACGCGACAGGGAAAAATGGAAGATTTACTGGCGCCCGCTCGAGTCACTCGACGATCAACGGGACTACAGGTGATACAGGTAATGCATATACTTATATATCCATGTGTATACTATTTAGATTTCCAGCTGATGAATATAGAATTTCATTTCAAAAATTTCGCTCAAATTGTTGCCTACATCTCATTAAATTCTCTCTCAGCTTTTTTATTTCTCCTAATTTAAGTAATTATTTATGGGCCATTGTGTTGAACAAACTCTGTTACAAAAATCATATCTTGTGGATGATCAAAATTTTTTTCGATTGCCCGCTCAATCAACTTCAATGCTCATTTGATTTATTACACGGAGCTGAACCATGAAGGGTGCCAAGTGCTGCATTATCAGTGCCTTACAAAGATTGGGTCTCGTAGCTTCCTATAGGTTAAGCACTAACGCTCAGGAACTAGTATACAAACGAAACGAGGTTTGGAGGGTTGTATAAGATTGTTGTGGCAACAGAATAGCGCTCGTCTTCTGAAAGAATTTATTAGTGAACATTACCACCAACACATCGGCTGTATCAATAAATGCGACGGGCTTTAACCATTATCATGCTTCTATAACGTAGAAACAACATCCCATACGTCCGTATGGTGTGACTTTTTTGAAAAATGTTAAGGATCTTCTCTCTTCTGCTACTCTCGTGGCCTTTACGAATATACGCCGAATGTAGGACTGCGATGTTGAACTATCAAGTGACGAAGCTCTTCGGCACATCTTATCTTAGGTATGTTGTGTACTGTAAACCTCAACAACTTTTAACATTTAAATCGCCTGTAGTTTCCTAGTACTGTACACAGCGTCATCAGAAAATTGTTTTAAAACTCTTCTATAGAAGTCCTAAAAGATTTAGAGCTATAGGGAGAAATTTCATTTTTGTCCAGGTTTTTCTAAGCATTCTTTCTAAAGAATCGTACTTTTTCTATCTCTATCGTATCTTTGCCCATCCAAGTTTCTAGTGGATAATATTTTCTGCCTATAAATCTTCATGGACTCACTTTGACCACGTTTTACTTAAACGCGGTACAAAAACTTGACCAAATTTTTAAAAACCAATCTCATCTTACGTAATTTTCATGACCAGAGAAATTTTGACGGAATTTCATTAAAAATTATCATCGACCTGCTTCTTCACCATGAAAATATGAAAATTTCCTATGTCAGTTTTACCTAAAATTTCAGATTTCCGATTTATTTATGATATACCTCGAAATGTAATCCAGACAGTTTTTTCGACTTTAGCGAGTTTCTTCTTCTTTTAACTTTTTCTTTTGCTTTGCTCCCTCTCACTACATCATAAAATTTACCACTAATTTTTACCGGACAATCCTATCTCAACGGCAGTTTTCCCGCGGACATTCATGACTCTCTTTTAGATGAAGTCTTGAATTAAAGAATTTTTTTTCCGAATCCAGACCAAGTGCACCTTGTTAATTAGATATCCTGGAGCTAGAAGGAGAGAAAAACGAGTGAATAGAAGATGGCAATAAATAGGATCTCGTTAGAACTTTTTAAATGGAGTACTGTGTGTCAACCGACAAAAGAGCATCGCGTAATGACTAAGGTTGTTTATTTGCTTTCCTTCATCACAGATCTGTCTAACACTACTAAAGTAATTTTCATCGATATTGATTGAATCCCAACGTGCACTAAGTATTTTTCCTTGCTCAGGTCGGTTCAAACTGAGAAACTTAGGACCTTTAGAGCATATACTATTCACCTTCGAATTATTGTCACCTAATTTTGCAGTGCTCAGTCATAAGATAGTGAAAACTCTAAGAAAAGAGAAGTCTCGAGCTTCAACATTTGTGGCGGTTAGTAATGATGATTTGGGGCTAACCTAATTCATCCCAAGAAGCCAGATTTAAGAATTGACTCAATCGCCGTCCGCCAGCTGCTGTGTGCACTGTACACCACTACTGGACCTATCCGATATGCCATGAAATAGTAGCCGATATGAGGCGGGCAAATTTCCGACCTTTTACACTAAAAAATTAGATTTTTGCTTTATTACGCACTCGCTGTTTCTCCTGTTTGACTATGACTGCACAGCACTTAACTTTCTATTTAAATCCTATCACTTTTTCTTGGCAAGGTGTTATGAGAAACATAACCACAATGATGCTGAGATATTTTTACCCTTTCCTGGGGCTCACGTGTTATACCTACTGCACAGCTGAGGCCATTGCTTTGCTTTTCTGTCAGCCAGTTTTCTATCCTAAGGATCCCGTTAGCAATAACCCGTTAACACTAATGGTCTGGGGAAACAAACTAGCATTGAAATCAGTCAAGCTGGAGCTACAGTCAGATTCACAGTTTGTAACTCATTATTTACTGTGTATTAATTTTTCCTGGGAAGTACTACGTGAAATATTATTCCCGTTCACAGGTAATTCCTGATATCGCTGAGCAGTCTCCACACATTTCGCAAAATTTTCTGGAAAAAAGCTGCCGACATTTCTAGCTAGACATTTTTCCAGTAGAGAGAAGGTTGATATAGCGCGATTCCTGAATAAACATTCGGTGGCTTGAAGGAAATTAATAAAGCAAGATGAAAACAGAACAACGTTATGATTTGATTAGTGAAAAGATGGATGCGGACGCAGGAGGGTTGCCGCTCTTTATACTGATTAATTCTAATTTTACAAGTTTCTTCGACGCATTCAGAACCTTCCGCTGAACTCTGATTTCTCATTTGATACTTTCACTCGTGGCACTTCAATGCCTTCCGTAACCCTTAATTCTCTTTTATTTTTTTTAATGAAAAAATCGAACTGTAGACGAAATCGTTTTGGATACAAAATACTTGCGTTTCTTTTGTAATTTCGTTCTCAATATTTTGTCGAAACTCAATCAGAGTTTTGTTTTCTGCAGTTGTGCAATCAGACAATGGTTTCCTCGTTCAGCCCGTCTTCAGTGAACTACACAGGACCGTTGACTCGGACGTCCACTATGGAGACAGTGGAATTGGAAGCAGCTTTGAGAAGGGAGCAATATTTCGTCGTTCCGTCCTATTCTGAAGCAATGCTTATGCCAAACGCGACAGTTGTAAGAATAATCTTAATTTTTTTATTTACTGCCTATTCTTTTTAATGGCGGTGTATTTTGCGAAATATAACTCTTATAATGCTGAGATATTTGCAAAATTCCGGACCGCAGTTGTCTGCCGTGGGGAACGAAGCGCTATTACCCTTTCCGGAGGCCAACGCCTTCACCACAACAACATGCGCTTCTTTCGTTTCGCCTGTCTCTCAGCTAGTTTCCTATCCACCAGTGCCATCAGCAATCACCCATTAACGGGATTGATCTGTGGAGCCCAAATCGGAATTGAACTCAGTTAAGCTGAGGCCTTAGTTGAAATCACAATGTTAATTTTCTATTTGCTGCGCATTACAATTTACCACGTCAGGGTGTTACGTCTGCGTTAGTCCATCTGTCTACGTTAGCCCCATGAAGGGTTAAAGTACATTCGTTCCCTACCGCAGACACCAGTGGTCAGGAGTTCCGCAAATATCTCAGGATCGTTATAGTTGTATTTCACATCATGTCTTGCGTGGAAAATTGTAATAGGAAGCAAATAGAAAGTTAACATTACGGATGGGGTTTCAGAAAAGTTTTGAGGAACTTTATGCACGTTTAATATTCGTTTCATAATACACGGTAATAGAACTCTCACTAAATAAATCTTCCAACTCTTTTCAACGGTCCATCCTATCGTTATTGTGCTATCCCTTGCGATGAGAGAGTCAAGTCTCTAATGCCACCAAGATTTATGAATTAGAATCCGTCTTTCCTGGGAAGATAGAAACACTAACTCCATATATCGGCAAGTTCTCATAAGCCGTTGTTTTGACCAAATACCCATTCAACCAATTCTACAAGGCAACGAATGGAACTGAATGTATAACACATATCCTAGGCACTGAATGCCGGAAGTTTTGTCCCCTATTTCTTAGATAATTGTAAAATGCAGTGTGGTTATTCTGCAAACCAAACCCATTTTTCCTAGAATATTAAAGGAGGCTCAGCAACTAAGTTTTCTCTTCATCTCAAGGTAGATCGTAGTAGAGCACTCTTTATGATTCATCACTCGTAAAACAAGCCCACAGAACCATCCTATAGCAGCAAGTACCAAAAACACGATTTCAGTTCTTATTATGGTTACTCTTCCAATGGTTTACTGCTTCATCGTGGCCCGGAAATGCTCCTGGGTGTCAGGCTGCGACGTACAGCGAGAGGATCCATCTCCACAGCAGAGTCTCCCAAACTGGGAATGAGTCCGGGGTTTCCATCAGAAAACCCAGCTAAGAGCGAACGAATACCAGGATCCACCACCATCATAGCATCAAACTAGTTGCATGGTGGAAAATTTTCCTCTGATTAACAATGACGGCAATTGCGTATGGTAGTGACGACCTGCAGCAAACTTTGGCTAGGGTGATCTCGTTACTCCAGGAAACGGACAATAGCTAAACCAGCAAAACTCCGAAAAAGTAGAAGTTATGGACCCCTCTTCTCCTTTTCGAAATCCGACATGCCATTTCGTTGGTGAAAAATCGAACAGCACTAGGTCCGGACAGAATAAGATCTCAACCCCTGAAGAACCTTCCGCCAGTTCTCATGAACACACTGACTGAGCTCCATTTGTCAAATATCTGATGCAAGGTCCCTACTCAATGGAAGACTAGCAGGACCGTGTAATTGTTTAAAAAGGGTGACCTCCATGATATCAGCAACTACCGTGCAATCTGCTTACTGTCTTTCGTCTACAAGCTCTTCACTCGAGTCAACCTAAGCGGAATCGACAGAACACTGGACGAGTGGCTGCCATGAGAAAGCAGGACTTCTAAAAGTATTTAGCGCGATGGCCCACATCCACGCAATAACAAGACTCAATGAAGTACCGCGAGAGTACAAAGGACCGCTCTGTCTCACTTTCATCAATTTAAAGAAGACCTTCAACCCAAATGAGTTAGAAGCAGTCATGGAAACCTTTGCTAGTCAGGGAATCCCTACTCTTTGCATAAAGATTCTTAGTGAGCTGTACAAAAACCGTGATATCACCATTCCACGGCAATGTTAACATCGACGTCAAAAGAGGAGTTAGGCAAGGCGATACCATTTCACCAAAATTATCTACGTCATCCTCTAGAACGTTCTGCGAGCATTGGAATGGGATAAAATGGGAGTGAAAATCGATGGTCGGCACTTACACCATCTTCGCTTTGTTGGTGATATTGTCCTTATAATACCAAACACTAGCGAAACGAGCGAAAAGCGAAACGAACGCTTGCCGGATTTGATAAAGCTTGTGGAAAGATTGCTCTTCGCCTAGATCTCTCAAAAACGATGTTTATGAGGAACGGATTGGTTCCGTATTCCCTATTCACGCTCAACGGAACGAATATCTCTGAATGCTCCAGTTATGTCTATCTAGGTCGGGAATTCAGCATGATGAACGACTTAGCTCCAGAGTTGAGCAGAAGGAAACGAGCGGCTTCGGGAGCTTTCAAGAACATCGCAGATGTAGTGAAGAGAACAAAGAACACTCGACTCCGTACCCACCTTTTCGACTCAACGGTACTTCCTGCCCTAACGTATGCATCAGAACCCTGGTCGCTGCTTAAACAGGAAGAAAAATTACTCAGCGTTATTTAAGGCGCAGTCCAAAGCACGATGCTTGGAGTAACACGTATCACGCAAGTAAGAGAAGGGATTCGAAGATCCGACCTAAGTCAACGATTAAAAGTCAAAGAGGCCTGTCCGCCAAACAGTCGAAGATAAGGTGGGGCGGACACGTACTGCGTATGAATGACAACCGATGGACATGAGCCGTTAGTGACCGGATTCCTCGCAATGTCAAACGCACTACAGGATGACTACCGATGATCAGAGTTCTTCACGAAAAGCCCAGAAGAAAGATATGATGCTCGATGAGTCCCTAGAGCGAGCAGATCCCACTGTCCCACTGGACTACTCTTGCACGCGACAAAGAAAAATGGAAGATTTACTGGCTCCCGCTAGAGTCACTGGACGATGAACAGGACTACAAGTGATGCAGGTAGTTATGGGTCCTGCACAACCAATAGAGACAAGCCAAGAAGTGTCAAGAAGAAGCCTCCCGCCACATACTGGTTTTTTGGAATTAGAAGATTTCCGAAAATAACAACAGAAAAAAGTCAAAATACTTTTGCACTATGCCGAGTCATTCACATCTCTATTCCAAAACCTTAGAATAATTCTGTCCTGTCATTTTTTTGAAGTGCTTATGTGCAATTCGAATTAATTCCTTGTATACGGCAGCCTAAAGTACTGTATCCGAAATCCATGCAGAATTTTGATAAGAACTTCATTCTGCTTAGAAACGAGGAATTTCGCATTTTGGTTGACATCGCCAACAGCAAGATCGACTTATCTAATTATGTGAGTATGTGGCATAGAGCTTTCAGCTAAGATCATTATTTGAGGGATCCGTCATGCATTAGGTTTCTTCAAACATCGTTAAAGGTGATTGAATGCATATCTGGTATAATCAACGGTAGCCACGGTAGCCATGTATCAAATCAATGTCATTATGTTTCCAGTCAAGTCTGATAAAAATTTTACGACCTTAAAGACATGGTTGCTTGGTAAGCGAGAGGAGCAGGATGAAACCATTGGCCTCTCATGCATTGCAAGGCACACATAACCACTGTACTACATATGCGTCTTAAACGAAGTTTGTCATAATTGGAAAAAATAATTATTTGGTGTCCTTGAAGTTGATAGTTTGCTCCAAGAAGCTCTTGAAATCTCGTGGGATTAAGAATCTAAAGATTATGCGCAGGTGTAGCGGCTGACGCTAGTTTGGCTTTCCAAGGTCTTGCCAGCAGTTGAAAGCTGTCATAACGTGGGAACTACATAATTTTTTGCAATACGGTAACCTTACAGTCTATTGGTATGTGCATACTTATTTTTTCACTTTATCATAGCAGCCTTTCAAAGAGCGTAATTTTACGACAAAAGACATAAAACTGGACGCAGAACAGCTATATAAGTGCCGAACTCAGCAGGGTGTCAGTTATAGAACGCGCTTCGTCTAACGTCCAGTGAATTCGCCAAAGTCATCGATTTAGTCGAAGGGAAACCGTAGTGAGCATTACAACGATCAACCTTCAGTTTGAGATTTTAAAAGAGTCGTCACTGAATGCGACGGCGAAGTCGACGACTCTAGGTGACATTTAGTTCTGAAAGACAATAACTGATTTATTTAGATTGTAACCAACTGGAAGTGAAATCATCAAGCGCATAACTGCAACGATATTAGCTATAGGAATATAAGAAATAGTAATTTCACACAAAAAATGCTCCCATTTGTTAAGAATCATATGCTAACACACAATAGTGCCCTACTCAGGTACTTGGACGGCCCGTTCTTAGTATTTGTACCGGCCCCGGCAAAATTTCCATTTTCCAGAGATTTTCTGGTCTAGCTATTGTGCTTCCTTGGAGTCCGGAGCTCAGTCTAGCCAAAGTCTGCCCAGGTCGTCACCGCCACAGGCAGTCGCGGCCTTGTGAGTCAGAGGGAAATTTACCACCATGTGACTAGTTCGATACCGGGGCGGTGGTGGATCCTGATATTGGTTTACTCTTAGCTAGGCTTTCTCATGGAAACGCCGGACTCCTTCTTAGCTTGAGCGACCCTGCCTGGGGATGAATCCCCTGCTGTACATCGCAGTCCGACACCCAGGAACACCTCCTAGCCACGGTGTGGAGGCACACTGTTGGGAGGAATTCTGAGAGAAGAATAGTGCCTTACCTTCCGAATTTGTCATGATGAGTTGAAAATGATCTCATTGAAAAAGTTACATATTACAGAAGGTGGCAAAGTCGAACTCCTTCTAACGGAAAAGTCCGTTAGAGATAGTTTTGCATAAGTGTGCTTTTAATTGAAAGAAGTATAAAGAAATGAAACGTGTTTCGTAAGAATTTACTGATGCTCATCCTAACCGGTGTCTACATACAGTGCTCCACTCCTCTTCGTCCTTTCCACACTAATTTTATACTCATAGTAATCTTTATACCATCATCGATTGTCACACGATATAGAACCATAAATCTTTTTATCCTTTCCAGTGACTGTCGAATATATTCACTCATAGGTTAAAATAAAGACGTTCAGACTCTCGTCGATCCGTCAGAGCCTCGAGTTTTCTCACATCCGATACCGATGAACAACGAGCAGGTGGTACTTCGGAATTACGGAGCGCTTGAGGAAGACCTAGATGAACTGACTGAAAATCGTCGGATTCACGGCAGCAGAAGTTTGAACTTCTTGCAAGCAATGAGAAGGTTGAGTTCTTTGCGGAAATTTGTTTCACAATGTGTTCAATTTGTATTTGGTGAAAAACAAATTTTCTGCAGATCTCTAGTGTGATTACTGTACTGAATTTTATAAGCGTTTTTTATTTTATTGCCTGACAGACATGGTGTATATCCCCTCTAATGTATAACGACTGACTGCACTTTTAATCCAGGCGGGCTGGTTTCTCTCACACTGAAAACTCTGCTAGACCGACCAATATTTCCACATGAGTAGATTTTCTAGATACAATAAGTAAAGTACCAAATAAACTTCGAATTCTGTATTGTACTTTAACATTCAGGGATCCGATGCCTCGTGTGTCGCTGGCGATCCCATTGCGAACTTGTCGCGCTGCACCTCCCAGGTCGCTATCTATCGCTGGTCTTTCTGGTTGGTCTAACGGATATCATCCGATCGGCCGTAGTCCAGTCAATGATCGTACACCTCTTCTGGATCCACCTGATGAACCGCCTCCAAGTTATGAGGTAGAATTTTAAAAAAATGGAAAGTTCAGTTTAACTGCAACGAATAACAAAGGATGGTTAATGACATTATTATGATATAAAGCATAAGATCAAGCATACTGATCCATTGTTACATTTGTCTTCACTTTATCACAATATCGATAATCAATTCCTGAAAAATGAATCTACTAATAGCTCGTGAAGTCGTGCAGACGGAGAAGTGCTGATTCGCTTGGGTGCGCAAATCAAAGTGGCGATCACCTGCTGGCGACGAGTGGTGCTGCTTCTCCCCACACTACATCGCCCTGATCGATAGATCTCCCACGGGAGATGGAAACGTCGTGCTTTTCCCGTACAGCAGAACAGAACAGATTTTTACGAGGTATTGGATGCTAACAATGGACACCATTCTCACTGATATTGACCGTATTTATACGATAAATCGATACGATAATACGACAAATCGATTACACTCGAACTTCACGTATAGAATTCATAGAAAGTCGATCAGTTGTGAACATTCGGAGAAAGAATCCTTGAAGGCAGATCTTTTCAAATGCACTTTGTACAAGACATTTCTTATTTCCCGAATTTAAGAGTCGTTCCAGTTGAGGTGCAGTCCATCCGAAGTTGTGTGCCGATTACCCAGGTGCAGTCACTCTCAGTAGATCGCTATCATGTTTCAATCGAACCTTTTCTCGAAATTTTTATAATCGCGATACACCAGCCAAGAATTTGGAAGCAATAAGAGTGAAGGAATGATGTCCTCAGATGCCTCTCTTGAATGGAAAGCCAAACGATCATTAGATTACTACCAATTTCGATATTATCCACACAGCTGTTTAAAGTATCTTTAATAGAGTATAAGGCTCAAGAATTCTGGAGTTTAGGTCCTTTCTCTTGACTTCACCCGAAGTATGGCAGAATGGCTCAATATTCAGTCAAACTGTAGCTGGTGACGAAAATTCAGTGGCATGTAATGGTAACCGTGTTCAGATCTGGCTCAGACCTGAACCAGACCGTTATCTTTGCATGGTAACTCTATCGGGTCAATGAAGATTTCGCTGAGAAGAGATCTGTTTCCGCCATTAAAAAAGATCCTACAGTATGCGCTTAGCGGCATGAAGATTGATCGCTCGATATGAACTGCAGCACTTAGAGACAAAATTCTTCCTAATCCGGTTTTTAGTCATAAAATGTTGTCGAAATCCCTGCTAATTCAGTTTGTTTGTGAAGATTATAGCAAAGTCATCATTTCGGATCTGTCAGACTTCTTTGTTTCTGCCCTGAAGAGCGTTCATCGGGAAGGGGCCGTAGTTCTTTTACAACTATGGGGGGTTTTCACTTAAACAGGTTACAGTGCGTGGCTTAACGTCTCATATGCTCTTCACATACAAGTGTATTCCACCACTCGTTTACAACTCCCTTCTTCCTAATGCTCCTACTAAAGTGACCGCAATAATAAAAAGCAAGGATAATAGCAATAGTAAAGGGAAGAAAAGATGCTTCAACTATGTATTACTTATTCGAATTTTTGTTATCTCTTTTACTCTCTTATTATCACTTTTATTTTATTAGTGTCATAGGAGGTCTCACATTATAGATGTATTCGTTTCAGGTAGCATTACGAATGTGTGCACCTTTATACGACCGTCTGCGTCGGTCCATTTCTTCACGTCTGAACTCAGTCTCTCAGTCGAGTTCAAAGGAGCTGAAAACACAAAATAATCACAGTCGTGGTAGCAGTCGAAATAGCAATAAGAATGACACCGACCATGATCCGAATGTATCCTAGTCGACCGGACGCTGTGAATTGGCGTTGAAACGACGAACTTGCAGGATCGAATGAGCGCCTTTAGGATCTTATGATTTTAACAGTCAGTTTAACAGGACAAATTTTGCAGTCGCGTACCGTTTCACATTTAACGACGCCACGACACTGTGCAGCAGGCAATATCTCCAGCGTTTAGAGCCGTCGGATATCGCTTAGAGTTCAGGCCGTGTTGCTCTCTGTATTAATTAAAGACTCAACTTTATAAGCGCTAAAATTATTAATTCAGTTTCGAAATGTCGTATTCGACCCTAATTGTGCTGTGACATATGCATTCATTAAACTCAATCTCACTTTCGCCAGACCATTCGACTCACTTCCCACTCCAGACTATCGGCATTGCTCAAACCGTTTTCCTTTTTTAAAGCGCTTTTTTGGTTTTTTTTTAGAACTAATGTCTTCATTGCATATTTTGATAGTCGAAAATTTCACTCATGCGTTACGATCTTAACGATTTCGTTGTTCCACAGATTAAAACTATTTCATGCATGTTATGTAACAGTTGGAGAAATGAATGATTGAGCAAAATGCTGAGAAATATTAGCATCATAGTCTGATTCCTAAATGTCAGTTTCAATATGACGGTGGTTCTTTGCCTGATTTACCTCTATGATTGGCATGGTATGGACCTTACCGGAGCATGAATCGGTACCACTAATAACGGCAATACCACCGACCGAGAAGAACAAGATCGTCTTCTGCAGCCTTCATCGTAAGAGGGTGGTGGATGGTTAGGGTTAAGGCAAACAGGGCTGTCGAAAGGATCACATTCTCTGTTACCACTACTACTAACTATTGATTCGCTCCAATTAATTATTCATGCAACGGGCCATATGTGTTCGAAAGGCTGGTGGTATGTACTTTATTTATGGTAATCTTCTTTCGAGAAGGGAGTTGAGATTGAAGCAAGTGATCTATTAGTTCCTCAACCTCTGGTTGCTCTTCCACGATGTTCTATGCGGACAAATTTTGTGAAGCTGCGAGACAAATTTCAGTACTGGGAATGACTTATCAACACAATAGTCTGCCTTCTATAGTATGGAGACATTTTCTGCTTGCACATCTTAGGCTTCACGCAGCAAGCGAATAAATGTCTTTCTTTAAAATCACTACGAATACTTAATATTTGAATCAGAATTTTCGATGATGGCATTCATAACTGGGAACGAACAAATGTGTTCAAGAATTTCCCGACACCGATCGTGATCAGTGTCCTGGTCCCAGCTCCGCCGTTCTTTCATACACTTTCATTTCTAACTTTTTTTTCTGCTTAAAGAGGACTTATTTAAAGCTCTCTAAAGTATCTGGCTTTGCCTCCATTACATTCTTCCCTCCATTAATCGCAAAGAGCAAACAAAAAGAATAACGTTTGCTTTTGAGATTTCATCTCAATTTGATTAGAATGTCAGCCAGCAACCGTCATCATTTCTTAACACAAAGTGTTTTCATAGTTGTATCTCATTCTCTTCTTTTGAAATGATACGACTTCATTGGTCCTCCGAGGAGTGCGCTTAGTAGCCGATAACGATTGACCAGTTGTGTATCGCACGCCGGATGGCCCATGTTACAATGCAGCTCAGCAAGACGAAGCACTTTTAAAGAGACCATCTCCGCTAGAGATTTTCACCTTGTGAACATACCATACTAGGTCAGCATGGCCTTAAATTAGACATTCTTGCCTCTCTAAGAAAGCAATCCACCGACTTGTACTCATGTTGGACTAGTTGTTCATCGAAGTAAGCGTCATCGTCTACGACGTGAGGCAGTCATTCGAAGGTGATCGACACTCAAGAGCCTTCTATATATGTTGTAATTCCCAGCAGCGTCTTGGTATTAACGTCGGTATTATTTATTTAATTAATGTCTGCTTTTTGTGCAAGAGCTGTTAATAAAAGCTTTATTCAGCACAAGCTGATATTTCGGTGGTTCCAACTTTTTCAGAAGCTTGCCTTCTATAGAAAAGGTAAATTGGCACGAAAGTTCACACTGCGTATCAGTTAGACCTTTGGAACGTTTACACTTGTTCTTTGTCGACATAATCTGAGTGTCTGGTTTCAGCAACAACTGCCTGCAAAGTATTGGGAACGTACGAAACGTACTCTTGACACCAAGGGTTGCACTTATGCACTATATGAGCACACTAGGTCGCGGTTTCCCAGAGTCGGCATCGTGATTGATTCCCAGACGAGGCGGCATGTGAACAGATGCCTTTCGACGAAACCCATATATCAAACATTGTAGTATCGTTGACATGTGGGGCAACACTAGTCGGCACAATCGCCCCGTAGTCGACGCTTTCTTTTCCTGGAGTTACGAACGATAACAATCAAGCTCCTACTTATCCCACTTCGATCGCCTTCAAGAAAACCAACCGCTAGAGTATATAGTCCTTCGACGTTTTTCAAAGGAGTCATAACTTGCTAGGAAAGAGTACTCGTCAAAGTTTTGTGATACAACATATTCAAGAAAGCGAAGCTCCGAATTTAACATTTCAAGCATCACAGAAATGATGAAGCAGCATGCTCTTAGAAAATTGCGTACAAAACTTCATTAATTACCTAGGCAGAAGCCTAGTCGATAGAATAAAATAGTTTTAAAAAAATGTAGCTCAACTAACACCTTTCTTGGATATCCATGTGTACTCCCACCACTATATCCTGAATATCAAAAGGGGCATATACTTTTTATACTTTTACAAGGGAGGCTCTGGAGAGTAACAGTGACTGGAAACGTTTGATGGTAATGAAGCTTTAAAGAGACAAAATCGGGAGTGGGAACTTTATTCTTGTGGAATTCGTTAATGCTCAATAGCTTTTTTAACATAGCCAATCTTTTTAGTTACCGTTCAAACCGAAGAAAAAGAACAAGCAACCGTTTGATAATATCGAAAGATCTGTTTTGTAAGTGTGGTTAGGTAATATCCTTAAGTAACCACTACCAACCTAAAATGATATTCCAGAAAAGTTTTCATCATGTAGGAATTGAACTGGTCCAACTGATTTGACTAGATAATGTTATTTTGTGGTAAAAGCAGCAAAGGCGGTCCGACGGCAACTATGCTGCAGAATATTTAACCACTATGAGCTTGCTCAAATACATCTCAAACGATTGGCTTTGAGGATTTTCCCAACTAACTTTAACCGTGAAGCTGATATTCCGTTCATAGTGTTGGTGTGTCGCAAAATGACGTCAATATTATGTAGAAATTATGAATGTTGTTTATGAACTGACTGTAATCGCATGGTGGATACAATGGCGCAATTGGGATGTTCAGCGGAGGCTTTTGAAAAAGTGCAGATCCATTGGCCATTTTCAAATCCACCAACAGCTAAAACCGTTTAATAACACAAAAATATTTATCGAAGAAGATTCACTCGATCACAGAATAGGTTTCTGCTTTTGGAGTTATTCGCTTCGATCTGCAATTTCATGCGAACATGCAGCAGAGAAGATGGTGTATGGTGGATTCTGCAACTTATGATTAACCTGAAGGTGATCGAAAATCCTATGCATTCTTAGTCTTAGGGTAATCGCCAGACGTCTACCGACGAATTTCTTACTATGCTACCTAAAAGATAAGAGTAGTTGGCTAGTTCGTCCCCATGTTCTCCAATTTTTTTTGTTGAATTCTTCGCTGCACATTGACAGCCCACTTACATCACCCTCCATTTCCAGCGGCCCTCTTTCGACTCGTGAGTGCTGGATCAATCGCCGTCCAGGATCCGGCGGTCGGCGTTGCACAATCGAACGTCCTACCGTACCCTGGCTAATCTTCGATCGGCTATTATTTACGAGCCACACTCCGTGTCAACGAAATCGCACGTTCGGTCGTCGTCGCCTTGCTCCGCCTCTTTCGCTGGGGATTCCCCACGCAAATGGTGCCCATACAGCGAGGGAACCCCTTCCCAGATTACAACCACCATTCGTCGTCCACTAACTCTTTCTGGACCCTTATACAACTTTATAGAGGCTTCTCGCTGAGCACACTCTCACTCATTTCAATGCGCTTCACTAAATCACTGGAATTTCCTTGTGTAAATATGAGCTAAATTATATTTGTGATATCGTAATGACAGAGTCCCATTTAAACCCAACTAAATTACCTGTATAAAATTATTCTGGCTAGGATGTGGTGTACCGGACTCCATTCCTCTCCGACTACGGTAAGGTTGCTGTTTTTCGAATCCTCAACAAAGTCTTTCTCTAACTCCTACCATTTATTTGAACCACAGTGCTTTTCTGACAAGTGCTGCTTTCCTCGCCTTGCAGTTTTCGTATAAGATCTCTTTGTTTTAGATCAAAACTGAAGCAAAATTGATTACCATAATAAAAATTCCACCATCGTCGACATATGGGGTGTTTTCCTAGCTCATCTGGCGCATATGCTTTTAGAAAATGGCTTCGATTACTATATTTTCCTCTCTACGTCCCAAAACGCTCTAGCAAATAACCGCTTACTTTGGATTTCTTTTTATGATATTCTCTACCTTTTCGGTGTTTTTAACCCTAAATGCAATTTCAACGCATCGTTTAGCACTTTCAAAACAAGTTTCACGTAGCGAAAGCGTTTTTCAACGTAACCTAGAACGTTTCCAAACATCCAGTGTGTATTGTCTACAATATTCTTTTACAATAATCACCAATATTTCTTCCCAAAGCGACGTGACCTCTGACTACATCGATCACGGCGATGTCGCTGGTCATTTTTGCGAGTGGGGTGACGGAAGTCCGTGTCAGTCCTGCTTTCGTTGTCCTCCTGCGTTTCCTCATGGGCCACTATACTTGCCTCTTCTTTCTGAAGACGTTGACCTCACCCAACTTATTCGCTCTTTCTACGAGTTTTTCAACACGTCACGTAGCCCGCGTTAACAGATACTACATGGCCTCCGGTTAAGAGACTTGACGACAACGTCTACCTTTCATGTATACACTTTAATTCTCTGTGGTGAACAAACATCTAGACG